TTTTTGTAAAATTTTAATAATAATATTTTAACATTCAAATAACTAGTAAATTGAAATGATTGAAATGACTTTTTTTTCATTTTTATGTTATGTTAGATTAAAAATTTAAACACTTATTTCAATGAAATAAAAAAAATCTTATAGTATAAAAATTAATTACATTTTATTATGGAATTAGTGTTCAGCAAAGACTTAGTGGACCAGTTGTTACAAACGCCGTCGAGTACATCACATCACGTGACAGCTGATTTCTAACGTCTTTGCTTGACTATCTCAACGCCCACTCATCAAATTGACGGCCTACGCATGTCAATTGGCCGTTGTGTAAAGTACACCGTCGTTCTTCAACCAGCATATATTATATGTATTTAGTTTAAACAGAAAACTGTTCCTCTTGTGTTTCCCATTGTTCGGCCATAGTGTCTTTAATTATTTGTTTTATATCATTTATAATTAATCTGTCACCGTCCTAACGACCATTTTAGCCCTCCTACGCCCTTTATATTTAATTTACTTATTAAAGAAATAATTAATATTTACTTTGCTATCTCTTTAATTATTGTCTACGCCTCATTTATTGAATGTGCGATTAGCCGCCATCCTCTCACAGGTGAACCCTCTCACCCGGTTCTCTATTGAACGTAATCAGACTTAAGTCAAAATGGCAATCTAACGCGGTACACGACTAGCCCTCCTGTGGTCTAGGACGTATCGTACGAAACAATTGTTTTAGAGCAATAATTAATGGACGAATGTGAAGAATTTTATTCAATGAATTTTGAACAAAAAAAGTTTTTCATAAATATTACGCCAAAATAATTTGATTGCGTTTCACGAATTTAATAAATGACAATAAAATATTTTTAAGTCTAATAACAAAGCACAAGCAGCGACATTAAATTTTCAATAAACTCTTAAAAGCAAATATTACAAAATCAATGAAAATTTTCTAAAGAATAATTTAAAAAGAAAAATGGTATAATCCTGTGTATTCTATTTCTAAGTAGTATGTTTATGTCCATAGCTGTATAATACTAGAGCAGTATAAAGTATACTATAAAAGCAGAATCTAAAATAATAACATTGTTATTTTAATAAAGTGGTAAAATGAATCGAAGATTTATATTGGTATGTAAAAAACGAGGCAGATTAGTTATTACTTTTAAGACTTCTCAACCAACTATAGTTGCATTAGTTAACAATTTCAATCATTTACACATCAAGAAATAACGAAAAAAAAATATGCATTACCAGATTGTCTGTATACAATCTAGAGAAATATTTTAGATGGATGGAATTAATACAGTACATACCGTAAACTGATGTTTAGTAAGTAAGGAAACAGGTCAATTGTTACAAACAATGACAAAAATGGAAACCCGTTTCTCTACTTACTGAACATTCTATATATTGGTAATTGGAAAAAAATAAAATTAACGGGATAGCTCGAAGGGAATGTAAAATAAATATCAAATACTTAGAAATGTTATGAAACTACTTTTCCAGGTATTGTTTTAATATTTAATAGTTTCATTCAAAGAATAATCCTTAAATATTGCCATTATAAATAATCAAATTGAGAAATAAAATAACTTCTAAAACTAAATTAAGATCCTCTGGTGTTTTTTTTTTTTTTTTAATTGGACAATGATATCTTTTATTTGTAATTAGTTTTTGAAATTTTTAAGCAGATGAAAACATTTAGAGTATAATTTATTACACTACATGACCAACTATGTTGTAAAAATAGTTACAAGTTTTTTTTTGTTTATTCTTGAAATATTTTAATAAAACAAAATAAAGAATTTTTGCTATCATATCTAAAATCAAAATACTATGTATTCTTCATAAAATTATATTAAATCTCAAACATTTTCTTGCTGTATAAAAAACAGGAAAGAATTTTAATGCATTTTTAAGTGGTCGGCTTTAAAATTGATAAATAATAATTTTTTTATTTAATTTAAACTTTCTTTTCACTCTATAATTTCAGTACAATTCGCTCACTAGATAGCACTAGCAGAGTGTCACTTCATGTTTATTACTTGTAAGCTCATCCATTACGGAAGTATAAGTAAGAACACAATGCTTGTCACCAATCCCCGGTGAACTTTTACTCCTCGGGTAGACCTTTAGCGATTGTGTATTCTTGAAATATTATACGACAGTGTTATTATATGATTTTGAAATATTACCGTTTCAAGAAGTTTCTATATCAACTTTTATAAAAATAAATCTTTATATTTTTATGATATGATAATTAGGTGCCAGTAGTTCATTTTATTAGGAAAACATCTGTAAAATTCCACTAAAATTAAACAATAAAACTAATTTTAACTAAATAAACCAGCTTCATAAATACAGTATACATTACTGATGAAAGTGGAAATTTTTAATATTGAAATGAATTTTATTGCAACACCTACAGCAATGCGATATATTTAAAAAAAATAAATGGCCTATCACGGAACTTTTTCGATCTGATTATTCGACTTACAGCGACCCCTGGTGAGCATTTAACGTTAAATACGACATATTAATTCATATTTTAAAATTGGCACGGAGATTGATGGCCAGTTATTGAAAGTGTACCGGTAATTCATGTGAGATAAAGAGATACGATACGAGATTACAACCCGTAAACCCAAGTCATCATAGAGACAAGCCCCACTACTAGTTCGGTTATGATTTAGATCCTGATACATTTCCATATAGTTTGATAACGTGATGTGCGACTGAGAGAAACACATTACCGTAACAAAATCAGTCTAAAAAAGTGTATAAAATTGTAATAATTTTGTCAAAAAGGGAAATTTTTTAGACAAACATAAATATTTGCTATAAAAACAAAACATTTAATCATCAATTCAATAATAATTAGATATTGGAATTTTTAATTTATTCGATCCTTAAGCTTAACACTACTGGACCATAGAGCTTCAAACTAGCAAAAAAAATTTTTTAAATTAGCCTAATAAATATTAAAAACACATTATATTTGTGCGGTAGAGAATATTTTTAATTTCTGTTTATGGTTAAATTTAATTAAATTAAAAAAAACATTGCTTAAATCAAATTTAGTTTTAGTCTAATTCTTAGATCATTTTTGTTCTATACACAGGTTTTACTTTTTTTTTTTTAAATATGATCACTTTCAATGTATCGTGGTTATGTTATAATTAAAGAGACATTTTTAATTATCATTTTAAAGGTTTTCTTTTTCGTCCCGTTTATTCATACTGAACTTAAAATTCCTCTATTACCAGACAGAATTTTTTTTTATTGTTTTTCAAATTTCCGATTTTTTAAGTTTAAAACGAGAGCACACATTTTTATCTTTTCAAATAATTAATTCAAAGTTTGTTAAGTTTTCAGTAGTAATTGATGAAATAAATAATTAATCGAACATGTTTGGCAACCAAAATGTATCCCTTGGGCGTTTTCTATATGAGAAATTGTTAGCGCTAGTAAATTACAAAGATACATAATTTGCAATTGAGCAGAATTTTCTTGCACATTCGCTAAAGGCAACTACTTATATGATGAACGTGTACGAACATGATAAAGGTTTTGTTCTTATATATTGTCTTAAAAGTCGGTATATACAACATTGATAAATAAGAAGGAGGTTTCTTTGTTTGTCTAGGTGGTGGTGGCAATGAATTTGGTAGATCCCGACACTTTGATTTATGTATCATCCGCCCAATACCCTTCATAGTTTTTTCACGCTTGCAGTGCCATAAACTTCTATTTGAGTAACGGCTGAAATTGTAAGCGTGTGACTCGTCAACATTAAATTGGAACTAACAGAGAAATAAATGTATGAGAAATCTGAAAACTAAAACGTCTGTCTTTTTCCACTTTAGAATAAAAACAAGAATAATGTATAACTATAATGTGTATGTATAATATTTATATATGAATGAAAATACACCATAGCTACACTAACAATATTGCGCTCTCGTTGGTCCCCAGGGTTTTTGAGTTAATGCGCTTCGACGCCCAGAAACTCTAGTTATATTTGATATATTATACGTGTTAAAAGCGTTTTCGAATAAAAAAATATGTTTATGTATGTACATAGCTTACATTATTATATCGAAGAGAAAAAATGAGGGGGAAAATAGTTTTCAACATTATAATAAGAGAAAGATTTTTTTCGTCCGGAAAACTTATAGTCCCAACAGAAAATTATAGCCGAACCTCTTTTTGGTAATTTATCTGACAACGAACGAAGATTCAGCGAAACGAAAAAAAAATGCCTTCTCGAATTTCATTTCGTATTTTGTCGGTCTCTCTTTACTGATGTGTCAGGAAACGTTCTCATTTTGTATCGTGGCGGACAGATTCAACGAGTTAAACAATCGTTTCCAGTTGAACACTGGACTCAAATAAAACATAGCCTTTATTTAGAGTAGGACGAGGAAGCTCTGGTAGAGAAATAGTAGTAACGATAATTTGTTTTTGTACAAGTCTTTGTCAACGTTAGGGTGGATAGTTCAAGTAGCAACAGCGTTGTTGGCAACGATAACGCTCTTCAAATAAACCACAAAAGGGATGAAAAAAAAATCACTAAAACATGGTTATTTCTAACACTGACAATATGCAGTTTCTAGTGCGACTAATTATTGAAGTTCCGGTGAAAAGAGAAGTGTTCTACACAACAAGGCAGCATACCACGGTAAGAATTCGTAGTAATTATAAGTCATATTAATATACTATAGAATAATTGACAAAAATTCTTATATATTCCTTGTCTGGTTTGCGTGTTTTTACGAGGTTGTTTGTTATTACAATATCAACGTACATAATTTTTTATAAAACAATAATAAAGTTATTGTAGGATGGCATTGTAGGCAGAGAGTGCCGACTCGTTATAATAAGTATAATCAATGATTTTTGTTTCGTGACAAGAAACCAAAACCAAAAACATGTATTTTTCAAAATATGTAATTGGCCAACATGATAATAATACTATAAGAGCATCATTACTGTTACTTGTATTTAAATTGCTTCTGCTAGTTTGATTCGGCTGCTATACTTGGAGTGTGTACACCCTAAGTGGATTACTACTCTGTACCTGGGACGAACAGTTTTCTTGTCGCAATTTATTATAAAAATAAACCCATAGATAAGAAAATGTCATTAATAATATACTATTTAAAGTTAGTTAGTTGACGGTTCGTTTATTTTTCAGCTTTTAAAGTTTATGAACACGAACATAGTTTCCATTGGCTGGTCACTGCTGATGAAAATTTGATCATAGAATTCTGTATCTGATACAATAATAATGTCTCTAGTGTAAGAAATCACGATGAAAACTTTTTCGGCTTGTGCGCCTTTTAATGAAATTTATGTTTTTCAGAAAAACTTCAAAAACACAAAAGTAGCCGGTACCGGTTGGATTGATTAATATTTTATATTTCAAAATAAAACAGTGGACAAAAGAATGTCAATACGAAAATGTGAATATGCGGTTCTAATTTCTATTTATAAAATTAATATAAATAACTTGAACAAGAAATTTAAAATAGTGTGCTAATGAATAGTGTACTACTGTTGTTATTATTACAGCAACAGAACATACTTATTAAAGTATACATGTAGTGGTTTTAATAATATTACACATTGTTATTACACGTTCTTATTGAAGTAATAAATTATAAAAAAATATTACAAATAAGAATGCAAATACAATATTTATATAATTTATCATTGAAATGGATCCAGAGATTCTTATCGTATCACATCAAAAGGGATTTTTCTTTAAAATATGTATTGGTATGGATTTTATTTTTGCATAAGTCGATTTTTCTTATTAACTATCAATTACAAAATTTACTAATAAAAAAAAAATAAAAATTTCATTAGTTTATAAGAAGATTATAATAAGATTTCTGTTGCTATGTAAAATGTAAATATTTAAAAATAAATAAATATTATTAGGCTTGTATTTTATTTGTTAATTTTAAGCAACATTAATGCAAATGGATCATAAAATTATTAATGTAGTTTTTTTAAGAACAAAAATTAGCCTAATATTATTTATTGATAATTAAATCTAAAATAAATTAAGAAATTTGCTGTCATGATAAGAAGTTGTCCCAACTGTTGTAATATATTCGTCAATATCATTATATAAGATAACAATAGGATACTCCGTTTGTGTTCACAATAATTGTCTTTCATTTAAGATAATCAACACTTCTATTTATATACTATATTCATATTCTTAGAATAACATGATTCTTATCAACCATAACATTTAAATAAATAACTTGGAGAAATATTCATCAAATCTTTTAATCTTTTATTATTTAGTTCAAAAGCAGACAAGTGTTTAATTCATTTATTTTAATAAGTTTTGAATTACAATGCAACTGACCACTAGAGTGCCTGCCAACGATATCAACCGGTCTCAGGTATCAATCAGATACACTGATATCGGCGCCATTCCCTTTTCCTGTCCGGTCATATGACTGACGGTTTGGTTCAAATGTTCTATTATCATCTTTATCCAGCGACGTACATGTCAATTTTGTTTGTGTGATTACGTATGGTGACTTTAACTTACACTTTTGGTCCTGACAATCAAGCCACCAGTTAAAATCATTTAGTAACTATGGTCTGGAAATCGTTTTAATTATATAACGTTTATAATTTGTACAACACTTTTTCCCTGTCACCTTATTTTCGGCCATTATTTTTTCCTATGATTGTATATTTTCACGGGATTTTCTTCGGAACATGGATTTTATTTAAATTAATAAATGTTTATTCTTTAATAAATAATAATAATAATATAAATGTTTAAATGTAATAATAATGTTTATTATTGTATTCATATTTCATATACATTTCGTTTATTTACTATTCGTAATTTATTTAAATTAAAATAATGTTCTTTTTCACGTTAGTGTCTGATTTATTTTTCCATGTTGAGTGTAACAATACCTCACATGTGCCTCGTTCAATGAAGTAGTTATTCGCAGTCTTACCAACTAATATAAAGGCCTACATATCTATTAATCGATTTCAGTTCCTTGTTTATTGTGTTGCAATGATATCCATTATATTTTATTAAATATTATTAGAAATACTTAGTCACCCTAGTAAAATAAAACATATTCAATCGAGAAGTATCCATTACTCTTATATCTATTCTTAAATAAGACTTTTAATATCATAATAGTAATGTTCAATAAAAGATTTTTCAATGTTTAAGTTTTGAATATTGATTAATTTTTATTTTGATTTGACATCATTTCAGTGTACTTTGGTTTTAATATCATTTTATTGTAATATTATCTTCTATTTACTTATTTATTTAATTTACTTTTTGATTATTGAAACAATATTCTATAAATCGTTATTTAGTGTCCTTTGCGTTTAATTTCCTCTATGCTATGATCTGGTAAAAGATAAGTTCAACATTGTTGGATTTATATGCTTTTATCTGCGAATGTTTAACGATCAGAAGACGGTGAAGGACACTGAATATTTTTTTTAATATTTTAATATTAAGGAGTACGGTTATTATTCTGATTGACAAAAAAAAAACATTAAATTAACAATGACCTCGTTCATTTATTATTTTTACCATTTGAATTGACAAAATAATAAACAATTAATATATACATAAATCTCATTTTCATAAACTTATTATTTCTTGCATAACTCTTAAATCGAATAAATTTAGAGTACTTTATACTTAAGTAAATATTATTATATTGATTTTTAAAAACATGAATTTATTATATTTTAAATATAAATAAGAACATTTTCATGTTGGCATGTTTCAGCCAGCGTGTTATTTTTAATCACTAGTTTTGACACTTAAAGTGGATTAGATTAAAGATAATAAAAATTTATTTTGCTGATAAAACAATAATAAATATCTTCAACCTTCTTGAATTCTTTCAAGTCTTAAATGAATATATTCAAATTAGTTTTTTCTCTCCATTGAAGTATATTTCAATGTTTTATTAGCTATGAAGTTCGTCAGAAAGACGCTAGAAAAAATACAGTACATATTTTTATTTGATCTATTTAGTTTTTAATAAATATCTTTTGAATATCTAGAAAAGTTTTACATTTATTACTGTTTAAATAAACTAAAGAAGGATTTTCTTTTAAAATTTAGACATAGAAAAAGAATGGAGCATATAAGTGCGACGAAAGTGTTTTACTTTTAGAGGATAAACTTCCGTGGGCTATCCCTAGTACTTCAATTCTTTTCTTTTTAATTTACATAAATGTATAATACAAATAACTTTTTCAATATTATATTACTCCTCATAAAACTACTTCTCAGTGAAGTATAAATTGAAAATAATAAAATGTTTGGCATTTAAAACATAGTAAACAAAACAATGTTTTATTTTACGTAGCCTATAGATTTTTAATGGCATCGCAAAAAAGTACAGCACAAACTACAAATTTATTATAGGAGTATAAAAAAAATTATAATTTGTTTTTTAGAACTATAAATAAATTACATTATTTTAATGTATATTTTCACAATCGAGAACAATCTAGATTTTATGTAGGCTGTTTAATAACAGAAAAAGGTGTTTGTATTGAGTTTATTATAAAAAAATATATATATATATTCTATCTGATGAACCACTTGTATAAAATTCCAAGCTTTTGTATTTAATCAAAATCGAATCACTTTTAAAAATTATTTTATTGTATTATCTCTTTTGTAGTTAATAACTCTTATCCCTTTTTAGATGACACATTAAAAAAGGAAAAAATTTAGTTCTCATGAACATTTAAATTGTACAAATATTGTTTTGTATAAAAATACGGAGCTAACCAAGCAGACATTTTTGTTAAATACTGACATCGAGTGAAATATTGGACCAGTACTGGAAGTTGACCATTGAAAAGCCCGTAGTAGTCTAATATTGGCTAAAGTCTCGTCTAAGAACTGATTCAGAATTGGCGGTCACTATTTGGTTAACAATGCCGGCAAAGTACTGGTGTAATATTGGATATACAAAACCTTCAGTATTGATCGATCTGTCAGTATAAAAAAACGTTATCGTTCCAGGCATATGTCAGTCATGGTTCAGTACTGGTAGTTGCTACCAGTACTGTGCCTGTTGTTAATTTCTGATTGGTTACCCACAAATTAACGAGTCCTAGACAAACGATTATCTCTGACCATCACTTATTTACAAAAACTTTAGCAGCTAATTTTAGTGTTTTAGAAAATGAATTTTAGACATATTAGCATAAAATATTTTACAATCTATTAACTAATGATTATAATTAATAAAATCCTTCATCACAGTTGTATCTCTATATTATTTTCAAATTGGAAATGTTTATAAATTCCATTGTGTGATGCGTTATTCAATATGTGCTTTTATATTTTCATTATTTTCAATAGTACTTACATTAAATATGATTGTCCGACCCCAAGGAGTTGGGATTAAAGTGAGGAAAAAAAAAAGAAGAATTACATTAAATGTGATATTGTATTTTTAAAAATAGTGGTGAATTATTCAATTTCGTGCCCTTACCTGAAACATAAAATAAAGACTGATTAGGGTTCGTAAATAACAAAAAAACATATTTTTAAGTCATAAATTAATGACGAAGTAAAAAAATTGTCAAAATAATATTTTTATGCTTTATTTTAAAATCATATTTTCTCGTTCTTCAAAACAAATTGTACAACGGGTTATCTTCAAATATTCATACAATGTTTCAACATACAAACATGACAACGTTAATAAATTCTTAGAAAAAAATCGCGGTCATCTAATTTATAAAATAGTTATACGATGAAATATTTGTATCACATAAAAACATTGAAGTATGAGATTTGCCTTCCGGTGTATAATAAATGTATTAAATTCACTCAAGTCAAAGATTTTCGAAATATTTTGTTTTCTCTTAATTTTTCTTTGTTATCCTTGCAGTCAAGAAAGTACAGTGCTGATTTGTTTAACTTGAATTACAAGTTAGTATGCCGATACGTATATAATAAAAGTGAGTTTTAATTTTAAGAAAGGGCGTAATACCGATTTTGGTGTCGGATAAAAAGTGACTCCCGCGCATCCTAGTCGCAGTTAAAAGCGCAGTTAAAGAACGCAAAACAAAATGGCTCTCTCAAAAACCTACTACTCAGAGTTCGTTTTAATATTCACAAACTTTGTTCTTCATTCATATTTTCCTGTACGATTATTGTTTCCATTGTTTTTAAGTGAATTTCTGTTTGCCTTATCAGCGCTGTACGCAGTGTTTCAAAAATCGGTTGTGTAGACTGCACATAACCATCGGGTTTACATACATGGAGAAGGGCGCCACTAATTTTAAAATTACTTTTAGAGGGAAAGTAGGGTGTATTATTTGAAAATGACCCCCCAGATTAGTAGTTGGGGAGGCACTGACTATATCAACTGTTATCCGTATTACGATTATCTACTGGAACAGTTGAATAGTTTTACAGCCGAACTCTGTTATGCGTTTATATACATAAAATAGTTAAGTGGTTTGTGCCGATGGCCTACGGGTGAACTGTCACGGTTCTATGAATATTATTACTGTACCCACTGAGTGTTTACTTTGGATGGAAAACTATAAAACTGGGTGTGAACGCAGCTAAATATTGTATGGCGGGAAAACACATCTATTGGCGTTTTATATGATACAGCACGTTTAGCAATAAA